GAATAGATGTGGTAATCTGTCAACGCGAGGGAAACGATTAAAAATTATTTGTAAATAGATAATTATTACGGGAAAATAAAAATAAAACTAATAGTTGTAGGCGATACACGTGTTGGCGACAGAGCGAAATAGATTGATACTCAAACCTTAACCCTACGATAGAGTAACGTTTCACAATATTTTACACCATTTCGTTGTTCCGCAGTTAATCGTGTGAAAATGACAATTGATTTTCTTTCTCTACGCTATTATCATAGTATAACCTCGTTTCAATAAGTAACCCATTTTATAATTTTGTTATTATCATCAGTACCTACATTTATATTCGAAATATTCAATCTAAATATGATGATATCAAAAAAAATAGTATATTACCTATATATATGTATGTTCTTTCCACCTTTTTTGTCTGTTAAGACGCGTTTAATAAAATTCGCATTTGTTTGTATTATAATATAATATAATACAATAATTATCAATACATAATGCTATATCACCCACATCAATAATGCGATATCCTTGCCCTAAATGTTTGTCATTCATGGTAAAATATATCAGCTTCGGGACCTTTGACCCGCAGACTGCAGTGGTGAGCGTTATTCCGGTTAATATATTATTCAGGTTTCCGACAAAGATACGATTCACCTTCAGAATGGAATTCATTACTACGGCACATATAGGCACAGTAATATAGGTATATATAATATAGGTAGTACCTTTTGAATCGAGTTCCATTGCAGCCATATGTGACTGATATTATTGGGTTTAATTTTTTACGATGACGGAAATTCAATAATAGTATCACAGTTGGTGATTCTCGTTTGTGTTGTGCTTTGTGAATATATATAAATATAACATCATACATTGACATATCATAAATAAATTATATACACACAACACACACACACACAATAATACCTATATACTATACATATATATAACAAGGTATAATATGTCATATATATTTTACAACAGAGTTATGAAAAAAAAAAATGAAAGTATTTGATATTTCTATACAATATTTGTGTTTTGAACGTTTTCAGAGGAATAGTCTATCTACGAGATTGTGGCCAGACCTAGAAATAATAGAATCAGAAAAGAAAAGTGGCCAGGTCTTCAACGCATGGTAAGACAATTACGCGAGTACCAAGTCAAAAATAATAATTACATTTCGTGTATCATTTATTATGTTAAAGGCATTGAATAAAACGAATCAAAACGCAAGTATGTGAATCTATGTATTTCCATATATTTTCTTTTAACAAGCGCATTCAAACAAATAACAACATGTTTGTTTAATTCCAATGACTCGGACACGGTTATTTTCTCCACTAATCACATGAATACATGATAATAATCATAATTATATTAATCCACTTTGGACACATTATTACAGAAAAGTTTTATTATTATTGTTAATCGCCATCGCGTCATAATATACGTAACATTAAATTAATACCTAACAACTTAAATACCTATTTATGATTATAGTTACATATTTTCACAAATTATAATGCTTGTGCTAGTAATTTATTATGCGTGCAACATGTGTATTATATTATTATTATGTACAGCAGAACTGTGCATTCAGCGGTAAGTACCTGATATATAACATATTTTAAATGCCGTTTCCTTGTAATGCTCGAATCGTTTTAAATCAGAATGGTTTATTATGTATTTTTACATAATATTATAATATTTTGATTTATGGTTTTGAATTTTCTAATAATTAGTCTTTGTATGCAATAGCAATAAAGTAAACGTACATAATAATAATAGTATTAGGACAAATTTTATGTTAAAACAATTTTATTTTTAACCGAACTAAAGGATTTGCTGCACTAGGACAAAATTAATCAGATAATATATTTCTTTGTTATCCTGAAACGTCACACTTTAAACGAAGTACCTATGTTGTAAGATAAGTAATTTAATTTCGTGTGTAATTGAAACGTCATATTGATTTTAGATTCATAGATTTGTCACAGTTGCAATTTTATATATTTTATTTCTAACATAATTCGTTAATAGAAGACGTAAATTAATTATAATAACGAGATATGATAATGATACGAGCTGAATTTTAACAATAATGCAGTGAACGCAAAATCGACAATCTTCTATCGTACAGGTCCCAGAAAGATTGAAACATGTGGTTTTTTAATAAATTCATTTGCACTTATAGTTCTAACTGTTTAATATTTAAACCGGTCAATTAATATTTAAATAAGTGACAGTATGATAAAATAGCATTAAAAAATAAATGTCAGATCGAATGTAAATTTTATTCATTTAAATTTTTCAGGGAAATGCTTTTGAAAATATTTTATTTTTGTACGTTCCTGAATTGATATCTCGAAACCACTTAAATATAATTGTACATAAGCAGTCTCATGTCCAATATGAATCCGAACATCTTTGATTACTATTTATGCGTATTATTTTTCAATCGTTATTATTTTTTTTACCTTCCTAAGCTACTCTTGTATACATAAGCCTAATCCCTTTCCAATTTGACCACCTAATGCACATCTACGTGGCTGCAGTGGATTTACAATATCTGTAGTACGTATATAGTATAAAATTATTATATTTACTATACTCAATCCAAAATTTGGCATTATAATATCTTATAATATAGTCTTATCCATAGGTATATAATGAACATTTTGATTACTTAAGTACAAAATATGATTTCGGTTTATTCAATACGTGCCTATTGTTTTATGAGGATAGATATATCTGTATAATATATTTTATGCGACACATTTATAATCTCCACCGTTGTTCAGATTCACTTTCTATTCAATAAAAACATCGTTATGAGACGTATATTAGTTCAGAAAGCAGTTTGATCTACTATATCTATCAGCCAGACGACCRGTCCTCGGACAAAATAATAATTCAATTACGTAAAATAATGTTACTGGGACGCAGCCGCGGAAAACGACAAACTTCCGTCTCTATTTTCACCGAACACAATATAACAGACGACTGATTCCATAGTTTCGGTACCGCCAATACGATGACGATGATCATCGCATCCATACAATATTTTATATCCATTATATATACCTCCTACCTACGTATACCTATAGTGTATAGCGATTAATGCTCAGAAAACTTTATTTTTTCTTAACGAGGACATCGCTGTTTGGATTTTCGAAGAACATTAATAATTCTGGTCGTAACATACAAATATATCGATATGTGTGTGTATGCCGTATGGTACCTACACTCCGGTCGGGTCTAGGTCAGACCATGTCGATAATCGTTTTTTTATTTTCCTAAGTGTTACATTATTCCCCATCAGACCACCAAGGATCACTGGCTGTACCCTCGTGTACGCGAAAACGATTGCAATATCAACTCTGGCCGTGACACGGAAAAGCATGCAGTAAGGAACCTGGCGCAGCGTATTCGTGGTGGTTGGTTGCGTCAGTCACGATTCGCATGTGTACAGCGCGAGCGGGTGTCGAGATAAGGCCCAGCGCACGAGACCGACCGGTGTATAATACATATAGGTACTATGTAACACGGCGTATGGCCTGCATAGGGTACGGACGTAAGTATAGAAACAAATCAAAATGGAAAGAAAATGTTGGTATGTGTGGTAAGGAAAATGTACCTGCGTTTGTAACGTATTACGATCGAATATATACGCACTGATCGTTCGTGACTTGCGTAGTCTCGATTTTGCTATTTTGTTCCCGTGCGATGGCTAATGCAAACGCATTGCGCACGAGACACAATAATATTATTATGCCGTCAATGAATCATTATTCGGACAGTATGATTACTGCAATAATAATAATAATAATAATAATAATCCAATAGTCGTTGTCGTTTGAATTCGTGAAATAAACGGTCAACGAGTATATTATATCATTATAATTCGTATAAAATCAGCAAACTGCAGATAAATTATTGCTCCCGCGGAAACGGCATACCATACGTAGGTACTTGGTACACTAACGGTATATTATACTTTTCATTGGATTTTTTCGATAAAAACAAAGTACGTCGTTCCGCAGTGATCGTTCAGATTAAATACATCGTACTACACAAGCTACGGTTATATTATTATAATTATATTATATACATTGGCGGTCGTCATTTCTAACGAAAACAAAATATAGAAGGTTATTATCAATATAGATAAATCGGCGCGTGGTTTTGAGTTTTCACTTTATGTTTCTATTTAAATTCTATACGCAATGAAATCGTTCATCTCGTTAAATGCGCGTATTACAAGCGAAATAATAGATATGTATATAGGTAGGTATGCCTAATATAATATATTATGCTATAATGATGTTCTTGACAATCGGAAACTATTAAGACGTTGAATGGATAATAAAGAAAACTGTACATATTATTTTTATATTATATTGATTGAAAATTAAATAACTCTTCCGTTGGGTATATTACGATGTTAATACCTAAACTATTATGGATGTCATTTAGACGACTATCGCGAAATATATAATAATATCATCGTAAATTGAATTTTGTTGAGCGTTCTCTGGCTATAAATTGCTGTAGAAACATATAATAATATCGCATCATCTTACTCAAACGTATATATTTTATTCTTCCTTCGCTTGATTCTTAAATACATTTATAGGTTACTTATTTTATATTTTTTGAACACGAGTGCTTCACAATAATTATATTGTAATAAAAATAAAAAATTATTATATTATAATCGAAAACAATTATTTAATCAAATCAAGTAAAAGTCGGAGACTTGAACGAACGTGAATGAAATATATTTTTTATTGCCAATATTATTCATATCACAACCATAATAATAGTTACAATATTATAAATATATCATGAACTTTATTTGGGGCAATGTGCGTTATGTAGATGGAAGATATAAATATAATATAAATCAAATGATAATAATTGTACACAAGCGTGAATAAATGGTGGTAAACTATCTCAATTATAGATCGCATAATTATTTTAATATTTACCAACTATAATATTATTACCTGTTCGTTTCTTGACCCTAGTCCCAGCGAACATGGTGGAATTCTCCATATTGGTGTGTGAAAGGACTATGGTCGATTCTGCGGGAGCCGGCGCCAAATACAATGCAGTGGCCAACACGGCCAAACACCACACATGGTAGTGATGATGGTTCATTTTTGCGGTCGCGTAACTACTGCAGTCGAATAAAAATGAAAACTATATTATAAAAGCGAAATGTAACAAAAACGACGTCGAGAAAACCGACGGCGTCGGCGGCGGTTGTCTACCGATGTGACGAGTTCACAT